GTTTGAAATGTCTGTGTTAACATGTCTGGCGACACTGACTCGAATCTGCTCCAGGTTCAATGCAAGAGCTGTTAGAAACATATCCACAAAATCAATTAAGACTCCTTTATTTTTTATGCGATGTAGAGAAAATGGAAACAAAAAGAAAACTTATAATTAACATCGGGAACAAACAGTTGAAATTTGTGGGGCATAAAGTGAGAAAAGAGGGCTTGGAAAATTTGATAGTAACAGGACTGATTTAAGTCAAAATGAAGAGAGGAAAACAACGCGTACTCTACCTAGAGAGCCTTAGTAAATGGATGGCTGAACAAGGTTTAGGAGATTGAAGGCAAGAGGGACAGAGGAAAACAACGCATAACCTACCTAGAGAGATTGAGTAAATAGATGGCGGAACAAGATTTAGAAGAGATAAAAAAAAGACAAAATTTATTAAGATCTACAAAGGATAGAAAGTTCTGGAGAGCCATGATCACCAACGTCATGAAGGGACACGGTAAATAGAAGAATAGTTGTATAATATATTTTAGGATTCATATTAGGGGAGGCGTTTATGTATATTCAAACCTGCCTCTTATGGGGTATTTGTTTTTAATGCCAATCAGTTCTTTTAATAATTTCACTAAAAGGAGGGTAAGAAAGCCACTGAGATGTAGGGGATACTGATTATAAAAGAATTTAAGAAAAATATAACATTAAGGATAGAGAACTATTATATATCGTACTTATAAACACTAATGGGTATGTCCCAGTTCGCACAAATACATTGGACACTATTGTAAGTGAGGGTAATATGCTGTCTAAGTAGTCCATCACTAGCAGTGGTTTACCTACTTCACGCCGCTGGCGAGTATTGTATTTTGTTGATGTTATAAAGATTACCATTTCATTTCCAACATCCGTTTTCGTTATTCCGCTTTAAGCAACCCTAACACATTCTAGGTTACAACAAGAACAATAACAGAACAGGAATTAAGAAACAGAAGATAATAGTTGAAATTGCATATACATTTTGATTATCAAGCGAGAAGTGCGATTGAAGAAACTGTTAGCATAGAACTTACGGTTACATCTAGCCATTTCAATTGTAAAATGATGAAACCTTGCCGCCAATCTATAAGGCCGTGGATATAATACCTTGAGAGAGAAGAAACTGTTAGCATAGAACTTACGGTTACATCTAGCCATTTCAACTGTAAAATGATGAGACCTTGCCGCCAATCTATAAGGCCGTGGATGTAATACAATGAGAGAGAAGGAACTGTTAGCATAGAACTTACGGTTACATCTAGCCATTTTAACTGTAAAACGATGAGACTTTGCCGCCAATCTATAAGGCCGTGGATGTAATACAATGACAGAGAAGGAACTGTTAGCATAGAACTTACGGTTACATCTAACCATTTCAACTGTAAAATGATGAGACCTTGCCGCCAATCTATAAGGCCGTGGATGTAATACCGTGATAGGGAAGAAACTGTTAGCATAGAACTTACGGTTAGATCTAGCTTTTTCAACTGTAAAATGATGAGTTCTTGCCGCCACGCTAGTACTATGCTTAAATTCATAAAGTCTAGGTAAAAGACATGTAAAGAACTCAGAAGATGACCATTGGCATTGCATTTAAATTTTCGAAGAAACTGTTAGCATAGTACTTACGCCTACACCTAGCCACCTTAACTGTAAATTGATGAGATCTCGATGCCAGTCAAATACTGCGCTTAAATTTAAAAAAAAATGTTTAGGCAAAATAGCTAAAAGCTCATTCGAACACTTAGCATTAAAGTATTTTTAGAAAAGACAGAGAGAGGCAACTTTACTGCGCTTAAATTCATAAAAAAAGTGGAACTTTCTCCACAAGAATAGAATGCGTTGGAAATGCCTGTCAACTCCGTGAATATTGTATTTGCTGGGGAGGTGTTGAGGAGCATTGAACCAACTCTTAAACTGTTTTTCTTCCCAGATCCACCTTGACCGGGGTGGTAGTCGTACCTGTTCGGGTCACAGCTACAGGTAATTAGTTAACACCCAAACTGGTTTTAAAACATTAAGAAAGTATCAAAATACATTTTTGTAGTAAAAATTGGTAGGAATAGATTTGAATAGTAAAAAAAAAAGATAGATTTGAGAGGATGGCTGGAGTGTACAAAGGCCGAAACGTTGTGAATATGACAATGAAGATGAGGATAACAGCCCGAATAATGTAAATAATGCAATTAATCATAATACCTCATCTCAGAGATATAGAGACCTAAACGTTCTGAATATGGAAATAAATATAAGGATAACAGCCCGAATAATGTAAATAATGCAATTAATCATAATACCTCATCTCAGAGATATAGAGACCTAAACGTTCTGAATATGGAAATAAATGTGAGGATAACAGCCCGAATAATGTAAATAATGCAAATAATCATAATACCTCATCTCAGAGATATAGACAGATATTGAAGAAGGCTGGAGCGTACAAAGGCCAAAACGTGAATATGGCAATGAAGATGAGCATAATAGTCTGAATAAGGTAAATAATGCAAGTATTCATAATACCTCCTCTCAGAGATATAGAGGCTGAAACATTGTGAATATGGCAATAAAGATGAAGATAACAGTCCAAATAATGTAAATAATGCAAGTTTTCTTAGATTGTTCCGCCATATGGTCCATAAGGAGTTGATATCCCATTGAATAAAATCATTTTTTTTTTAAACTGCTGTATGGTGTATTGGAAAAATTTGTTTGAATGAAACTCGATATCCATTGCATAGAATTTCATTGTTTCAAAAGCCTTACCATTGCTTCTCTCTTTGAAAACATTTTCATCTTCAAAAGCCACTACTCTACGACAAAATTGGATGATCGTAGGTCACTTATACACTTAATGAAATGTAGTCAGAAGAGGAAGAGTTACTACAGATAGTATTTTTTTTCGCTTCTCCCCGATGGTACTTTTTTCCAACTACTTGCTATGCTGTCAACTGGTATACAAACATTTAAAGGCATCCTCAATCGAAACCTTTCTTCTTGGATCCTCTTCTTTTTATTGTCCTTTCATTTGGGTGATATTTTCTGTCTATATCTCTGAGATGAGGTATTAAGGTGGAGTAATGGATAATAGTGAAAATGCTTCATTTAAAAAGCACCAATAATAAGATGGAGTAAAACTAGTAATAAAATAATAATAGTTAAAATGCTTCATTTAAAAAGCAACAATAATAAGATGAAATAAAACTAGTAATAAAATAATAATAGTGAAAATGCTACATTTAAAAATCAACAATAATAAGATGGAATAAAACTAGTAATAAAATAATAATAGTGAAAATGCTATATTTAAAAAGCAACAATAATAAGATGGAATAAAACTAGTAAAGAGAGAATACAAAAGAAAAGAGGGAAAGGAAATAGAAAAAAAAGAAAAAAGAGGAGATAATTCTTTTTTTCTTTGAGCAAGATATTTTTTTTAAGAAACAAAGCTAGTCTGGTCACGCCCACACTGTTGATCGACCATTGAATGTTAACCAGGTGGAGGTGATCATGTAATGCAGAGGAGGAGGCCTGCTACTACTCCTTAGAGAGGATAGGTATAAGATGTTACTGTGAAGAAGTGGGAGGATCGTTGACACCCTCTGAAGGTAGGGGTAAGAGAAGACTTCCAAAAATGGAAATAATAAATTTTTCCTGACCGAAAACAAAAGAAGGGGATTGTGGATTTGGAATTATCAAGGAACCACAAACCCCGACAAAACCCACCCCGGTTTTGGTCGGCGTCCATATAAGCAAAGTCGCAGCAAGCGAAAATCAGAGAGTTTCCTAGTTCAGTCAGTTCGGTTCAGCTTCCAGTTCGCAGTTGAAGTGGGCCTCGCAAAGCTGACTTGTAAGATTCGCGCAACTTTCGAACTTATATTCAATCCAGGAACAATTTATTTTTGAAGAGCGACTTAGATCCATACCACCAAAATAAGTTTTACGACTATCGCCTGAAGACACACCAAGAACCAGTTTCTTAAAGAACAGACAACTTAAGATGTTAAAACTCACCTAACAAAAACAACGTGTCACGAATCCATATAGCGGGTCGGGAGATAGACGCAGTCCTATGTATCCAGCAACCAGATATAAAGTATTGTTATCCTTTTTTTGATACCTTGAACTTTTGAGTTATTATTTCATTTTCTTTTACACATATTTGTGCGATACCACCCTCAGTTGAACTCAACTTGCATTACGGTCCCAACGACTGATTGATTTCGTCTGCCTAAGATCAATTCACAACGTGGGTAGGCGGACTGGAGATCAACGCAGTAACTTCGGTAACCAGACGTTGGAAGTGAGTTGGGAACGACGAGGTTGATATCGGATCTGACCAGATTCCCATCCGAAACACCAAAAGGTTAGAACGTCACATTTGGGTGCCGCGACCAATACCAAGCCAGTTGGTCGTCACAGGACGGGACAACACGACTGACGCAGACAGGCGGACGTCACGTTTGGAGCGGCGACACCCGAACGAAGCAGCGAGGAGCGAGCGAAGGCTGGGGGACGTCACAATAGTGAAAATGCTTCATCTAAAAAGCAACAATAATAAGATGGAATAAAATAACAATAGAGAAATTCGTAATCTAAAAAGCAACAATAATAATAAGAGGGAGTAAAAGTAATAATAAAATAATAATAATTAAAATGCTCTACCAAAATAACTAACAACAATAAGATGGAGTAAAAATAAAAATAAAATAAAAATAATAAAAATTCTTGATTTAAAAAGCAACATTAATAAGATGGAGAAAAACTAAAAGCAAAATATAATCTGTTTATTTATGCATCAGTCTTTGTTGTCATGTTTATGCAGATGAATAAATTTTCTGGTGTAACATTAAAAAAAAAAAAATCTTTTTTCATCCCCTATGGATTTTACCCAATTGACATTTTGTGTGCGTGATTGTACAAAAGAAAAAAAAAAAGGACCTTGGAATTTATTGGTCCTGTACGTCAAGTGTATGAGTCTGTCAAGCCTTCCTGTACTGAAAAATCAACATTCAAAATAGATATTTCCTAACCCTCTTCTCTTCGTTCTTGAAAACCATTTCGCTTTTTTCAGTTTTGTATTTTTTCTTCACCACTAATTCTCTCTTTTTCTTCCATATTGTCTGACTCTCTTTTCATCTTTTCCTCGTCCTTTTCTTCCTTCCAGTCTAACATTTTTTTGTCTTGCTCTTTTGCCGTCTCTTGTCTTTCAGATTTTCTATTTAACCTTTCTCTCCAAACCTGGCTCTCCAATTTTACATTCTTTAATCTTTGTCTCTCTTTTCATTTTTTTTTGTCTTCTTCCATTCTTTCTTTAATGGATACTGGCTCGAAAAAAAAAATCGGAGGGCAGAGTTCGAATTCAAGTCTGTTCTTTTACATTCACTTGCGCGTAAATACCGTTTGTTAAGGTATGAATCAATTTCATCTTCTCAGCTATGGATTAAATAGTGGGATTTGGATTTGTAAAAGTAATTGATATTCTTTAAAATATGTTAATTTTTTTTAAAAAAAATCACTAGAAAAATAAAAATAAAAATAAATGAAAAAAAAATAAAAAAGATGAAAAATAAAAATAAATAAATAAGAAAAAAGTTACGAGCAAGAATAATGTATTCCTCTCAGTTATAGGTTAAATAACAGGGCGTGTATGTTAAAATCATTATTATTCTCAAAAGGATTTTTTAGATTGCGAAGAAAAGAAAAACATCCTTGCATTTGAAAATATGCTTCATAGTTAAATAACTTAGAAAGGGTTGATAAACAGTAAAAAAAAAAACAAATGAACATTTATTTCTTTTTTGGCTTTCCCTTTCACCTTCTAATTGTGCTTTTGCTGAGTAAACTTTAAATCATTTTGCATCCTGCTTTCCCGCCATTTTCGCTTTTTATGTTTTTATGATCTCCCCTTCTCATCTTTTAGCTTTCCTTCTTACCAGCATCCAACTACTTTCTTGCATTCGTCAATTCTTTCTTTCTTTCTTTCTTTCTTTATTTATTTTTCTTTCTTTTTATTCGACCCTTTGTTTGTTTGTTTGTTTGTTGCTTTCTTTCTTTCTTTCTTTCTTTCTTTCTTTCTTTCTTTCTTTCTTTCATGCTTTCATGCTTTCTTTCTTTCTTTTTTTCATACTTTCTTTCATTCTTCCCTTGTTTTGTTCTTGATTTCTTTCATTTATTCATTCTTCTTTTATTCCTTTCTTTCATCCTTGCTTCCATTCTTTCTATCATTCTTTCTTTCTTTCTTTCTACCCTTTCTTCCTTTCTTTCTTTCTTTCTTTCTTTCTTTCTTTGTTTGTTTTTTTTTTAATTCCAGCTTCTTTCTTTCTTTCTTTCTTTCTTTCTTTACTTCTTTCTTTCTTTACTTCTTTCTTTCTTTACTTCTTTCTTTCTACCTTTTCTTTCTATTCTACCCTTTCTTTCCTCTTTCCGTCTTCCTTTCTTTATTTTTCTTTCTTTTTATTCGACCCTCTGTTTGTTTGTTTGTTGCTTTCTTTCTTTCTTTCTTTCTTTCTTTCTTTCTTTCTTTCTTTCTTTCTTTCTTACCCTTTCTTTCTTTCTTTTCTTCTCTTTCTTTCTTTTTTACTCTTTCTTTCTTTCTTTTTTTTTTTCTTTTTTTCTTTCTTTCTTTCTTTCTTTCTTTCTTTCTTTCTTTCTTTCTTTCTTTCCATACTACTCTTTCTTTCTTTCTCTTTTTTCAATTCCAGCTTCTTTCTTTCTTTCTTTCTTTCTCTTTATTTGACCCTTTGTTTGTTTGCTTGTTTGTTTGTTTGTTTGTTTGTTTCTTTCTTTCTATTTTACCTTTTCTTTCTATTCTACCCCTTCTTTCCTTCCTTCTTTCTTTATTTTTCCTTCATTCTATTTTACCCTTTTTTTTTGTTTCTGTCTTTGTTTTTTTGTTTCTTTGTTTGTTTGCTTCTTTCTTTCTTTCTATTCTACCCTTTCTTTCTTTCTTTCTCATTTTTAATTTCATCTTTCGTTTCTTCTTGGTCTTTATTGATCGTTCGTTTCTCTATTTTTTATTGATATTCCCTTTAGCTCTCTGTGCAAAGAGGTATCTTGTGTCGATCTTCTAAATTAAATGTTGTGAGAGGGGGGGGGTAAATCATTAACATCAAACATTATCAAACTTAAATTTCATTTAGCCTCGTTTAAAGAAAATGGCCAAATATTGTAAAAATGGACGATTCGACTTCATTAGACCCAATTTGCATGAAGTGTTCTGTCTTGAAAAAAAAACAAAAAAACAAATACTTTTGCCCTGTTTAACCCACCCCGACCACTAACCTCTGTATAACGTAGAATAAGAATACGAAAAGAAAAAAAAAGTTTATTCGGTAAGTGACTCTGTCAAATTAACGTCAGTTCCCTCAAGGGTATGTGGTTTTAGGTTTTTCTTCGAACGTTTGATCTTCTTGCTCGGGGTTCTTCTCGTACTTCAGGCGTTTATATAACTTTATTTTATCCATTTATCGTGTGTGTATATTTTAAGTTGATTGATTGGTTCGTTTTTTTACGGCTTATCAACACTTTTCAGGTTATTTATGGCCAAAACTATTTTAGATTGTAAAACTTCTTTTTTTGGAGATCATGGGGGCTTAGAGATACACGTCTTACTAATTTACCCATAACTTGGGGCAGAAGCGGCGGTGCCTAATCAGAATTTGATAAACAATCAAGAAATTATAGCGTGGATATAAAGTGGGGGACCAATTCTATATTACAATCAATATATAAACTGATCCCTTACTTTGTGGCCACTGCAGTTTCTATACATTTATATTACAGAGGATGTAAATAAATCTAAAAGACCTGCCTGCGTAGCTAATCAGTATTTCATTGACTGATTGATTCCTGTTCTAAGGCTTATCAACAAATTATAATGTGGAAATAAAGTGGAGGACCAATTCTATATTAAAATCGATATATAAACTGATCCCTCACTTTGCGGCCACGGTAATTTCTATACATTTATATTCTAGAGAAGGTAAGTAAATCTAAAATACCTGCCTGTGTAGCTAATCAGTATTTCATTGATTGATTCATTCATTTTCTACGGCTTATCAACAAACAAGAAATTATAACGTGGATGTAAAATGGGGGACCACTTCTATATGAAGATCAATATATAAACTGATCCCTCACTTTATGACCACTTTTTTAGTGATTTGTCTTACTAATGAACCTATAGAAGGGGTGATTAGAGGTGGATTCATAACTTTCTCAAAGATATTTGCGTGTAAGTGAATATAACTAACCCAACGAGAATTAGAACTCTGATTAACATTTCCGAGCCATTATCCATTACACCACCCGCACATCCAATCTTAAAACACCTGGTATACCCAAGCGGTCACCCATCCAGGTTCTGACCAGACACGACAACGCTTAATACGGCCTTAAGGCAAGATGTTTTATGTTCAGCTCGGTTAACTTTATAGTGGTCGAGTCAATGACATAATTCGACTCCTGGGTGACCAATTCTATATTAAAATCAATATATAAACTGATCCCTTACTTTGTAGCCACTGCAGTTTCTATAAAATTTATATTCCAGAGAATGTAAATAAATCTAAAAGACCTGCCTGTGCAGGTAATCAGTATTTCATTGATTGATTGATTTCTTTTCAATGGCTTATCAGCAAACAAGAAATTATAATGTGGATATAAAGTGGGAGGAACAATTTTATATTAAAATTAATATATAAACGGATCCCTCAATTTGTGGCCACGGTAGTTTCTTTCCATTTATATTACAGAGGATGTAAATAAATCTAAAAGACACGCCTATGTAGCTAATCAGTATTTCATTGACTGATTGATTCCTGTTCTAAGGCGTATCAACAAATTTTAATGTGTATATAAAGTCGGGGACGAATTATATATTACAATCAATATATAAACTGATCCCTCACTTTGTGTTCACGGTAATTTCTATATATTTATAATAAAGAGAATGTAAATAAATCTAAGAGACATGCCTGTGTAGCTAATCAGTATTTTATTGATTGATTGATTCATTTTATATGGTTTATCAGCAAGCAAGAAATTATAATGTGGATATAAAGTGGCAAACCAATTCTATATTGAAATCAATATATAGACTGATCCCTCACTTTGTGGCCACGGTACTTTCCATACATTTATATTCCAGAGAATGTAAATAAATCTAAGACATGCCAGTATTTCATTGATTGATTGAATAATTTTCTACGGCTTATCAAAAAACAAGAAATTATAACGTGGATATAAAATGGGGGAACAATTCTATATTAAAATCAATATATAAACTGATCCCTCACTTTGTGGTCACGGTACTTTCTATACATTTACATTCCAGAGAATGTAAATAAATCTAAAAGACATGCCGGTGTAGCTAATCAATATTTCATTGACTCGTTTTTATATCTTATCAACAAACTTATATAAAATTTTCTATCAATTATATAAAAATTTCAATGTGGATATAAAGTGAGTGACTAATTTTCTATTACAATCAATATTTTTGATCCCTCTTTTGTGGCCACAATACTATTTATATAAAATAAATTTTCTATCTTATTTCAACAAACGTTTTATATCTTATCAACAAACAAAGAAATTATAATGTGGATATAAAGTGAGTGACTAATTTTCTATTACAATCAATATATAAATTGATCCCTCATTTTGTGGCCACGGTAGTCTCTATAAATTTATATTCAAGAGAATGTAAATAAATCTAAAAGACATGTCTGTGTAGCTAATCAGTATTTCATTGACTGATTGATTCGTTTTTATATCTTATCAACAAACAAGAAATTATAATGTGGATATAAAGTGAGTGACTAATTTTCTATTACAATCAATATATAAATTGATCCCTCATTTTGTGGCCACGGTAGTCTCTATAAATTTATATTCAAGAGAATGTAAATAAATCTAAAAGACATGTCTGTGTAGCTAATCAGTATTTCATTGACTGATTGATTTGTTTTTATATCTTATCAACAAACAAGAAATTATAATGTGGATATAAAGTGAGTGACTAATTTTCTATTACAATCAATATATAAATTGATCCCTCATTTTGTGGCCACGGTAGTCTCTATAAATTTATATTCAAGAGAATGTAAATAAATCTAAAAGACATGTCTGTGTAGCTAATCAGTATTTCATTGACTGATTGATTTGTTTTTATATCTTATCAACAAACAAGAAATAATGTGGATATAAAGTGGATATAAAATCAATATATAAATTGATCCCTCATTTTGTGTACAGTAGTCTCTATAAATTTATATTCAAAAGAACAATAAATAAAAGAAAATGTCTGTGTAGCTAATCAGTCTTTCATTTTGTTTTATATCTTATCAACAAACAATCAATTTTCTATTACAATCAATATAAATTGATCCCTCATTTTGTGGTCATGGTAGTCTCTATAAATTTATATTCAAGAGAATGTAAATAAATCTAAAAGACATGTCTGTGTAGCTCATCAGTATTTCATTGATTGATTCGTTTTTATATCTTATCAACAAACAAGAAATTATAATGTGGATATAAAGTGAGTGACTAATTTTCTATTACAATCAATATATAAATTGATCCCTCATTTTGTGGCCATGGTAGTCTCTATAAATTTATATTCAAGAGAATGTAAATAAATCTAAAAAGACATGTCTGTGTAGCTAATCAGTATTTCATTGATTGATTGATTTGTTTTATATCTTATCAACAAACAAGAAATTATAATGTGGATATAAAGTGAGTGACTAATTTTCTATTACAATCAATATATAAATTGATCCCTCATTTTGTGGCCATGGTAGTCTCTATAAATTTATATTCAAGAGAATGTAAATAAATCTAAAAGACATGTCTGTGTAGCTAATCAGTATTTCATTGATTGATTGATTTGTTTTATATCTTTATCAACAAACAAGAAATTATAATGTGGATATAAAGTGAGTGACTAATTTTCTATTACAATCAATATATAAATTGATCCCTCATTTTGTATTACCACGGTAGTCTCTATAAATTTATATTCAAGAGAATGTAAATAAATCTAAAAAGACATGTCTGTGTAGCTAATCAGTATTTCATTGATTGATTGATTTGTTTTTTATATCTTATCAACAAACAAGAAATTATAATGTGGATATAAAGTGAGTGACTAATTTTCTATTACAATCAATATATAAATTGATCCCTCATTTTGTACACGGTAGTCTCTATAAATTTATATTCAAGAGAATGTAAATAAATCTAAAAGACATGTCTGTGTAGCTAATCAGTATTTCATTGAAAGATTGATTTGTTTTTATATCTTATCAACAAACAAGAAATTATAATGTGGATATAAAGTGAGTGACTAATTTTCTATTACAATCAATATATAAATTGATCCCTCATTTTGTGGCCATGGTAGTCTCTATAAATGTATATTCAAGAGAATGTAAATAAATCTAAAAGACATATCTGTGTAGCTAATCAGTATTTCATTGACTGATTGATTCGTTTTTATATCTTATCAACAAACAAGAAATTATAATGTGGATATAAAGTGAGTGACTAATTTTCTATTACAATCAATATATAAATTGATCCCTCATTTTGTGGCCACGGTAGTTTCTATCCATTTCTATTCCAGAGAATGTAAATAAATCTAAAAGACATGTCTGTGTAGCTAATCAGTATTTCATTGACTGATTGATTCATTTTCTACGGCTTATCAACCCTTTACAGGTTATTTAAAGTCAG